GGGCGAACTTTCGCCGGCCGGTGGGGACTTGGGGTCGGGTGGCGGGGGCGGCGAGCGTCGCCGTCTGCCTCGGCCGCCGCCTGTGTTTCGGGTTTGACGTTTGTGAGAGCTCGGGCCGTCTCCGCCGCCGAGCCGCCAACTCGTGTGTTTTGTAATCAAAGTGTGAGGCTAATAAAGGGCGGCGCCACAGCCTCTTGACTCCGGCGTGGGAGGGATTCGCAGGCATTTAAACAAAGAAACTAGTTGAGGTTGGGCTCCCAAAGTCCTTATTTGGGCGTTGTGGCAAAGCCTGCGGTCACCTTTAGGTGAAGCAGGTTTCCCGAGCACCGTTTGGTGTTTATCTCGGCGAGAGTACGCTCCCGGGTAATAGCAGATATGGTGACTGTGATTGTAGGAAGTGTCCTTTGATTGACAGCAGGACATTTAAATACAGCCTCCGCTCCCCCCCCTCCCCAATTTTGCAGAAACAGTACACGACCAGGCCAGATGTCTTAGTCTCCCTCTACTGGCCCTGGGAGAGAAAACCATTTAAATTAGACCGTTCCTGTCAGTGTACAGTTAGTTTTACTTAATTTTCAGATATAGTTAGTTTCCTTAATGAATTTTCAGGTGGCGCAATTTCGACAGCAAAACAACAGAGGGGAAAACCCCAACAAACTGTCACTGTAAAAGGACAGGGGTCCTTATTTTGTATATCAGATAATCTTTTAATAGTCTGGTATATGCTGGCAATATTGTTAAAACCATGCCGCTTGTAACTAAGAATAACTTATCCAAAGTTCTTTCTTATTACTCCAGACCAATGTTTTCCCTATATTTTGATTGTATACAAAACTGAAATACGAAGATACCAAATCTTACCAATTCTATTTCTGCACCCTCTTTTCCCGTCATAGGCGACCAGAATAGAGATTATCCAAAAATCTAGGTTAAATATAGAATAAAACCCAATCCCTTGTGATTATGTAAATACTTAGGTTTTCAAGGAACTATTTTAGCTGCTTAAGAAATTTGTCCCATTGTCCAGTGTAGAGATTTGATAGGTGAATAAATTTGAGATTAGAATTTTATGTATCTTAAAGTAACACTGTAACCATGAAAAGCTACAGGTAGTTTATGGAGCATTTTGTAATTCATTTAAGTATAAATTGGTTAACAGGAGAAATCTAAGGGGAAAATAAGAGGGCATGTGTGAAGGAGGGAGAGCAAGGCTAAAACAAGTATGCTCTGTTCTGTCACATAAATTTGTGTGACTTTGTATCTGTGGGCATGATTCTGAAAAAGATTTTTTGAACCCAGGGGTTTTTTGACCATCAATCCTTGAGAAGTCAATGTAATTCAGATGTCAAAAGTTAGTTAGAAAATTTAATGATAATGCCCTGCCATGCAAAAGCAATTATCTTATTAGCAAGTTTAATTTTTAATGAAGTATTGGTAATTTGGGGTCCGTATGTTTTCCTTGTAATCAATATTTACTCATGTTTATTGTACCATGAAATGAGTGATTGGTTTTTTGAACACAGCAAAATGTTCCCTATGTATTAATTATTAAACAAGTATCATTGGCTTCTGTGAGAATTGGCCCCCAAAGTACCAAGGTATATTTTTAGTCTCTGTGCACAGCTTTCCTTTGGTTTCCAGGCCTGGTCCATCTACAGTAGTGAAAGAGATGGTAGGAGGGCGGATACAGACAATTGTCTTTACCTGGATAACTCCTTTGTACTTTTGTTTTTTCAAGTAGAAGAATTAAACTCAAGGAGTCAGTGAATTTTGGTATAAATTTGGGTTTACTCTGCCTGGAGTTTCTGACATCTGGAAATCTGAAAAGTTTTTGTCCTAATTTATGCTGATTGGGAAGGCAGACTCTTCCTTGATGCTTTTCAGCCAGGCATGAGGGCACATAGAACCAACTTTCTCCAGATTTGAAGCTTTTGGATTTTGACTGCATCCTTGATGTTCAGGAATTCCAGTCCCTCTGTCTGCCTACGCCTTTTCCGTAAGTGAGAAGGGAAAAGATCACTTGCCAGGGTACAATGTATAATTGATACCCTAAGGGCAGTGAGCTGAGGAATTAAGAGGATTTTCCTGGGAAGGTTTCTTCCAGCCTAAAGATGGTGTTTCTCCTCTGTGAGTTCTTGGTGGAAGTAAGACAATAGGGATCTTTCTTGACGATGCCCTTCCCCATAATCTCTAGGCTAGACATCTTTCCAAAGAGCTCTTACAGCATTCTGTGCAAAACTACATTATTGCCCTAATTCAGCTGTGTTATAATGTCTTTTATCTCCCCATTATAATGCAAACACTTTTATTCGTTAGTCTTTTTAGTTACATACTCATTTTAATTGGCAGAAGTAATGTAGAAAAATTGGGACATACAGAAGAGTATTAAGAATATGAAAGTACTCATGTCTTCCAGAGATTACCACTATTTTATAACATTTAAGGTATATGTATGTGTTTTTAAAAATAAAACAAAACTGGAATTCATTTTATGCATTCTGCTGTTACCTGTCATATCTACCTATTCGTTAATGTATACTTTTTCCTGTATCTTTAATGTTCTTTGAAAAACATTTTCAGTGGCTGCATAGACTTTAATTTCATGGAAGTATAATATATTTCAAAAATCATTCCCCTCTTGTTAGTTTTTTACTTTGTTTACTACTTTTTATTGTATTTCCTAATGATGGATGGTTGACATCTTTCTAAACAAACCATTGTGAACATCTCTAATCATTTCCTTAGAATAAATCAAATGAGTTAATACATGTAAAATACGTTGAAGATCTGCCACATGTAAATACTCAATAAGAAATTTCCTTGAAGTTAAATTATTAGTCCTACAATACAGATATTTTTAGACTTCTTGTGCCTATTGCCAGATTGTCCTTCAAAAAGATTGTTTCAATTTTATACTCTCACCCACTGCCCACTTCTCTTTCCCTAGATTCTCACGAAGGTATTATTAACCACACCCCCTCCCAAACAAACAAACAAAAATGTTGTCAATCTGCAGATAAATGAGTATTTTCACCAAAAGACGTACCCAAGACCGTTCATGGCAGCACTATTCATGTTATTCCCAAACTGAAACAACCTAGATTGTATAAATTGTGGTATAGTCATAAAATGGAATGCTGCTTAGTCATCAGGAGGGACTGCATTACTGATATATGCAACGACGTGGGTGAATCTCACAGAAAGTTGAACAAAAGACGACAGACTTGAAAGCTGTTTAATTCTTCTTATACGAAGTTCAAGTATAGGCATAGCTGGGTGATAGAAGTCAGGCTAGTGCTTACCTCTGTGAGAGTATTTACTGAGAGGAGGCCCAGGGGAGCTTCTGAGGTGCAGGAAATGTTCTGCAGCTTGGTCTTGGGTTGTTGTTACATGAGTGCATGCAGATGTAAGAATTCACTGAGCTGCGTGTACACTGAAGATTTTTTTAAACTCTTTAGTGTACTTCAATCATTAAAATAAAAAAGTTTGAAAGTTAAAAATTTGCCGCTTTGGTAGCTGACACATAGTATTTTGTAATTATATTTTGTTTCTTGTTCCTGACACGGGAAATTGCCTCTTGTGTTTTATTAAGTATGATGTTGGCTTTGGCCGGTTTGCAGTGTGCCTGGCGCTGTTCTTGGTGCTAGGAATATAGCAATGAACAAAGCAAGGTCCTTGCTTTCTTATAACTTATACTCTATGGTGGTGAGGCAGGGAGACGGACGGACAAATATTCATGACAAAAGAATGCTACGGGCTGTGAAGAAAAATTGAGTTAGAAGAAAAGAGAGGATTGAGGGGGTGGTGTAAGGCTACTTTTGTATAGTGTGATTATGGAAGGCTTTGAGAAGGAGACATTTGAACACAAGAATGTTTTAGATTTTACTCAGAGCAAATAGTCAAATATTTTGAGTGGAGGAATAAACGATTTGACTTAACCTTTAAAAGGTTCCATCTGGCTGCTCCATGGAGAAAAGACTAGAGGGGGAGGCAAAGGTGACGGGCAGACCAGCAAGAAGTCTGTTGTAACAATCTAGGTGAGAGATGATTTTAAATGATTGAGTCAGTTTAGGTAAGTAACAAATGTTGTGTATTAATTTTTATTCCTGAAGCTTGAGTGAATGAAGGGCTTGGTTTAGGGAGATAGAAGTATTTATCTAGAATAATGCTTTTGGGTAGGAGTTTCTCTGCTACTGTTCCAGGAACTGACTCAAACACCTGTTGAATGCTTTACCAAGTCCTATGCACTATTCTCATTGCGTTAGCTATATTAATTAGCTCATCTAATTCTCACAGTAACCTTGCTGGATAAGTATTATTATCTCCATTTTACAGATGAGGAATCTGAGAGTTGAGAGGTCAGTAACTTTCCCAGGGTTACAAAGCTGGAAGGTCGTAGAACTAGCGTCTGAACTCTTGTCTCTTTCTTGAGGGGAGAGAGGGGAATAGATGACATAGATGTGACAGGGTTCCAGAAAAATACATCTTTAAACATCTTACTTTTTTTCCCCTTAATTAAAATTATTTTCTCTAGTGTAAACATGTTTAAAATGATCATAACTGCCTTAGGAACAGAGTATAAAATAGTTATTTGAAAAGTTTTATAATTAACTCTGCCTCATCCTTAGGCAGAAATCCCAGTAAATTTCTTATTGGATTATAGTTTGATTCTTTTTTAATTTTAAGGATGGGAATTTAAAAAAAATTTATATTATATACATTTCCACTTAACGATCAAGTCTTAAAAGTATTATACTAAAGTGTTACTAGAGTATTATAAACTTACTAGGTGAACATGTATCTCCCTGTAAGAGAACAAAAAGCCCATTTATTGAGTTTCTCAATATCTTTTTTTGATGTGACAGTTTGTCATAGGAGAATATATGAGTATTTTCTTCATATATTTCACTTGTAATAGTATTATACATATATACTCAGTTTTGCTATTTGAACAAAGTATGTCGTGAAATGGAGTCTTATCTCAGACTGCCCAGCAGTGCTAACATCTAGTTCTCTCACCAAGACTTTTAAATTTTTAAACCATCCAGTTTGGGGCAAATTTCTGCTTGGAAGGCTTTCATATCCTGTGCCCTTAGGTATGAAATTGAGCTTGCTGATCACCCAAGGGAAAGAATGCCTTTCTATTTGATAATCTGACGTGGAGGGCTCAAGAAGACTAGTAGAACAGGTGTAAGGGAATTTGATTATAAAGCAAGCTTTGGTTGGTTTGAGCAGTTGAAACTTCACGATAATTTGGATAGCTTTTGAACAGTTGGCCAGTGTTGATCTTGCAGCTGCTTCCAAGTTTTCTAATTCTTTTTGAAAGTTACATTTTATTATTGTAATTGTCATTTACTTACTTTTCTATAAACATTAATATTATGCTTTTCCCATTAATTTTAGTGTGAATTAATGGTAACTTGTATGATTTTTCTATGTATTTGTGTGAGTCCTCGTTCCTTTTATTGGAGAATGGTTGTTAGAAACCAAGGTCTGTCAGCAGGTGGGCTCTTTGCTTCTAGGCCTTCTGAGTGGACAGAGCTAGGAAATACACTAATCACATATGCTCACATATCTGTGTTTGTGTTTGTGTCTGTCTGTATTAAAAACTGTAAGTTTTTGTAACGGTACCTTTGATTCTTCTCTAACACCACAGGGTTCTTTTTAACCTTCCCGCTTTCCTTATTTATAACTTTTTTGCCTAACAGTTAGAAACCCAGCTCTCATTATCTACAATGTGTATATTTATTTGTTCAATCCTCATGTATACATAAAGTTGTTCTCAAATTGCTAACCTATATATACCCTTCTGAGAAACTCAGTTTGTTAAGTAGATTGCACTATTTGTGTGTAGTTCTTTTTGTCTTTAACCTTATAATATCTAGGCAGAACACTTTCTGAAGCTAACTTAGTTCTTTTCCACTTTAGTATGTTATGTCATTTATTTGTAATATTGGTAGGTTTATTTGTTACTGTTTATAATGCATTTTGGATTCCTCTTCTGTCCTGGCTGGTTTTAATTGTTGGTTTGTATTTTGAGTATGTGAAACATGACTGTGGTTCTAAGAAGCCAGAAATTACTTGAAAAGGTATACCCAGAAGTGTCCTGCCTTCTTGGTTCCTCCTCCCCTCCCCTCCCCCACCCCCCATGAATAATCTCTTTAGTTTCTGATTTATCCTTTCTCTGTGGAGTTTTTTGTTTTCCCACAGTGAGCAGATACATATGTATTTTCTTACATCTACTTTTTTTATACGAAGTGTAGCATCTCTTCACTTTGCTTTTTTTTTTTAAACTTGATGTGTACTGGAAATACTTCATAGAGCTCTTTATTCTTTTTAACAGCTGTATAGTATGCCTTTGTGTGCATGTACCCTTTTTTATTTATCCATCCTCTTTTGTGTGGGCATTTAGGTTGTTTACAGTATTTTATAATTATAGATAACACTGTAATGAATAACCTTGTGCATATGTATTTTCATGTTGATGGAGGTGTATCTTCTGTTTCTAGAAATCAGATTGGATTTCTAGAAGTGGGATTACTTGGTCAGGAAATAAATGCATTGCTTTGTCGGGATTACCAGATTTCCCTCCAGAATGGTTGGACTAGTTGTCATTCCCACCAGCAGTATAGGAGAGTGCCTCTTTCTCCTCATTCTTCCATCAGGATGTTGCCATATTTTTAATCTTTGCCAGTCTGATAGGTGAAAAATGGTGTCCATATTTTATTCTACACATCTCTCAAGTGTGTTTGAACAATTTTTTATGGGGCTGAAGACCATTTTCTTTCTTCTTCTCTCTTTTTTTTTTGAGAATTATCTATCAGGTTTTTGGGCTTTTGTCTCTCAATTTTTAAGACCTATTTTCATATTAGGGAGATTAGCCTTTTGTGGCATATATAAGTACACTTTCCCAGTTTATAGTTCGTTTTTTGGTTTTGTCTATGGTGACTTTTTTTTTTTTGCCTCACAAAAATTTTAAAAATATTTGTGTAATCATATTTATCAATCTTTTATTAGCTCTGGATTTTGAGTCATAATTAGCAAGCCTTTCTCTACCCGAAGGCTAAAGAGGATTTTACCTGTATTTTCTTTTAGTAGTTATATGGTTTTATTTTTTCCATGTAGATCCTTAATCCATTTGGGGTTTATTCTTGTATATGGTATGAAATAGGAATATAATTGTATTTATTTTTCCTAAATGGCTACCCAGTTGTCCTAGCACTATTTATTAAAAAACCTATATTTGCCTCAGTGATTTCAGATGCCACCTTTATAAATATTCTGAAATTATTCATGTACTTGGGTCTGTTGCTGCACTTTTTCTTCTCTTCCACTCATCTGCTTGTCCTTTCATACACCAGCACCATACTGTATTAATAATGGAGGTTTTTATAGTACGTTTTTACATCTGGTAAGGCTAGTCTTAACCTTGCAGTTACTTGTTTTAAGTGTTTTTCTGGCTGTTCTTGTAGGTTAAATTTACCATATGAAATTTACCATCAGCTTGGCTAATTTCACTAAAAAGCTTGTTGATGTTACATTAAATTTATAAATTAACTTAGAACTGATATTTTTATAATATTTAGTCATTCTCTCCAACAAGGGTGTCTATTTAAGTCTACTTTTGCGTTTCAGATGATTAAAATTTTTCTTTATATTGATTTTGCACATTATTTGTTAAGTTTATTCCTAAATAATTTTCTTTGTTACTATTATAAATGAGATTTTCTATACTATTTGCTTGCTAATTGTTTATTGGTTCTATATATGACTTGATTTTTGAATGTTATTTTATGTCTTACTGAAATAATATTTTGAGTTAGTTATGTCATCAGTTCACTAGAAGTTCATGTCATTTGCGCATAGAGATAGTTTTACTAATTCTTTACCTATTCATATGCCTCTAAATGATTTCTCTTAATGGTTTCTTTTATCTAATTGCACAGGCTTATACCACTAGTACAGTGTTGAATAGTGATAGAGATAGTGGATGTCCTTGCTTTGTTCCTGATTTTAGTGGAAATGCTTCTAGTGTTTCCTCATTAAATATACTAGCTTTTGGCCTAATTTATAATATTAAGAAAGTATCCCTCAATTCCTTTTTTTTTTTTTAGTGTTTTTATCATGAATCTATGTTGAATTTTATCAGACTTCTTCAGCATCTGTGGAGAATCAGACACCTTTCTCCTAGATCTGTTAATAGGCATATAACCTTTTTTGTTTGTTTTTCCTTCATATATATATATTTTTTTAATTGAAGTACAGTCATCTACAGTATATAAATTTCTAATGTAGCGCATAATGTCCCAGTCATGCATATACGTACATATATTCATTTTCATGTTCTTTTTCATTAAAGGTATTACAAGATACTGAATATAGTTCTCTGTGCTATACAGAAGAAACTTTTTTTTAAATCAGTTTTTATATATAGTAGCTAACATTTGCAAATCTCAGACTTCCAAATTTGTTCTTTCCCAC